TCAGATGCCCGAACCACCTCAACTGGCTCCTTTCGATGTGGAGGAGCAGCTCTATCCCGAGTCCCCATCTCTAAGGCAGAGGCCAGAAACCCTTCAGAGGAAGCTCATTTCTGCCGCTTGTATCCGCGATCTCGTTCTTTCAGTCACCATCCACAGCTCAAACTGTAGGTGAGGGTGGGGACGCAGATTAACTGGTAAATTGAGAACTTTGCTTTTACACTGAGCTCTCTCTTCACCACAGTGGACCAGCACAGTGTCCACGTCACCAATCAGTCTGTCAGCGTCCCGCTCCCTTCTCCCGCACTCAACAAAACCCTGAGATACTTAAACTCCTCCACTTCGGGTAGGAACTCATTTCTAACCCAGAGTGGGCACTCCACTCCTTTCCAGCTGAGGACTATGGCCTCGGATTTGGAGGTGCTGATTCTGCTTATCGTCTACATATTTTGTAAATCTGGTTTTCATATCAGCCGGTACACAGCGAATCCTTGCAGGATGGTAACACGTGGTAAAGAGCTATTTAAATTGCTCTTTACCACGTTTACCAAGCGTGATACCCCAAACTCACACACATTCCATCATCCCTGCAGGATTAGAGCTCTGCTGCCCGTATTATCACTAGGACTCCCCCCACCCACCACATCACCCCTATCCTGAAGCAGCTTCACTGGCTAGCGGTTAAACTTTGCATTAATTTTAAAATACTCCTTTATAGTCTATTATAAGGCTATTCATACCATACCTCTCTGATTTGGTACAGATCTCCATCCCATCCCGGTGCCTCAGATCCTCCTTTTCTCTTTTTCTTTCTGTTCCTTCCTTTCGTCTTCCTTTCACCATGGGAGGCAGGGCTTTTAGTCGCTCTGCCGCTCGACTTTGGAATTCCCTATGCCCCGACCTCAGAAACATCAGTTCATTCCCTCTTTTTAAGTCCACCCTCAAAGCCCACCTGTTCAAGATAGCCTTCTCTATATAACTTCTCCATGCTCTTAAACATTTTTTTATTATTGTGTTTATTTCCTGTTTTTATGGCTGTATTGTTTGTTCTGTACAGTGTCCTTGGGTGTTTTGAAAGACGCTTTTAAATAAAATTATTATTATTATTTATTATTATTAAGATGTCGTTAGTTTTGCAGGTCACAAAGCATCAAACATGCAGCTAATCCTTGGCTAAACGAGACACTGTATAAAAAGCATACCCTGCACCTCGCGCTAATTCATCAGGTAGAGGATTGCAACAAGCATGCTGTTTGCAGGTGGGTCAGTTCCAGCATAGTGACGGTGCGCAGTGAAAGCTGGTCTTCAGAAAACAACGAGCTGTCGTTTCCTCTCTTGATGAACAGACGAGAGGAAACGAGTGCGCCAGTGTTTTTTTAATCAGTTGTTTACACTGAAATGTTTGAGCAGGAGACAGCACACACACAC